CTCAGAATTGGGTTACCGGCTTTAGAGGGGACACACTGCAGGGGCAAGCCTGGAAGCTGGGAGTACAGGCCAGGGCCCAGCACAGAGACAGAAGGGGAGCTGAGTGGATCGTGAGGAGGGGATGGATTCAAAGTGGCCAACACCACAGGACTTGCCGATTGACTGAATATGAACTCTGAAGGGGGAGAACCTGGGCCAGGGCTGACACCTGGGTCTCTGACCCAAGGAAGCAAGAGGACTGACACACTGTCAGGGATGATGAACACATCACTGAGGCCAGGAATGGGCCACATTTGGGGATGAAGGTGGAAACCACACTGGGGACCCTCACATCTCATCCAGGCTGGCCCTCACCCCTGGATCCCAGCAGGGCAGGAAAAATCCAGCTTCAGCTGCTAGAGGATGGGGCTGAGAGGACAAAAACCAGGATCCTTCTGGAAGGGTCTGGGAGGCTCAGGCGAGTCACTGCACTTGCTGGAGCCTCGGTCGACACTGCTGTGACCTGTGGCACCTGTCAGGTGCAATGGAAAGTGATGAAGAGCTTCCACCCCAGCCGCCTCCTGCCTTGTCTGGGACTAAGAGCATCTCTGGCCCCACCCCGTCCCCAGGGAGGGGCTCGCTCCTTCTCTTTCAGGGTGGAGGACCCAGAATCCTTCTGGCCAAAGCAGGGTGGGGGTTGACACCTAGGGCTGCTCTCACCCTGTGGGTCTTCCTGGGGGCAGCAGCCCCAGGGTGAGGCAGGCAGGGAAGGGCTTTGGCAGATGGTGTCTGGCCAGCTTCAGTAGCAGGGCCCACTAGGCCTGCTTCCTCCCACTCACACCCAATTCTCCTTCCTCACTCCGCTCCTAACACCACTGGGCCCAGCCCGTGCCCTGTCCTCCCTCCAGCCAAAGCATCTGCTCCCACGCTCTTCTACAGAGCCTTCCTTGAGGCCACCACCTCCCCCAGGCAGCGTTCCTGATCATTCCATTGGTTCTCTAGGCCTAGACCTTGAAGCACTGGAAAAATCCCTAGGCCCTGCTTCTACCCATGTCCGGATTCCAGGACTCACCAATGGGACTGTCCCTTGGAATCTGTGTCATTGCCAGGGGAAACAAAGGTGGAATGAGTCTGGTTAATTCCAGATTGGGAAACCACCTTACGAATGTCCCTAGGCTCTGCTGCGCTCCAAACAAGGCTGGGAGGCACCTGAGGCCTGAGTCAGACTCTCTTGCCTCTGCTTCCTTCTGTCCTGAATTCCCTGGGCTGAGCATCACCGACAGTCTGTCCTCTGGTGCCTAGCACTGTGCTGGGTGCTGGGGACACCATGGTGTGGGGTGAAGCAGCCACAGCCCCGTCTTCACAGACCTTACTGTTTAAGTCTTGCATCGAGGCTGTTTCCCCACCAGAGCTCCTGCTGCTCTCCTCATTTATGTCCCTACATTCCCTCTTCCCCTCCTGGGCAATGCCCTCCCCACCTCTCTGGTAGGAATCCTGCCTACCAGGCCCATGCCACAACCTCCAGGCAGCCTTCCAAGGTATCCAGGCCAGAAGCAGCCTCTCCCCACCCTACATCTGGGGTCTTTTTTTTTTTTTTTTTTTTTTTGGTACCGGGGATCGAACTCGGGTCCTTGCGCTTGCAAGGCAGGCGGCGGAACCACTGAGCTAAATCCCCAGCCCATTCTGGGGTCTTTAACCCACATGCAGTCTCAGGCCTGGTCCAAACTCCTTCTGTGAGCACCCCCCCCAGCAAGGGTGCATTCTGCCTCTGTGGTCCCCCCACCCCAGTCCCCGGCGCAACCCCAAGGGGCCACCCAAGCTGTACCACCACTCTGTTCCCCCTCTGGCCAGACAGCTGCACCAGCCCAGAGCTAATCCAGGCCCTTGTGTCTTGCTGCTATGGCCAGTTCCCTAGAAGGACAGGGGAATTTGGGTCCTTCCTGAGAAAATTTCTGAGTGAGCAGCAGACACAGAGGACTGAGAACCCAGGCGGGAAATTCCCCGGAAGTGGGGGGTCAAGTCGTTAATCGCATCAGAGCTGTCCGTTGCCCAGAATAATAAACACTGGCCTCAGGGGCAGGTGGAGAAGCCCCAAGAGCATGGGCACACGTCACCTGGCAGAGGGCGCGTGAACAGTGAGGTCGGTGGATCAGCAGAGACAGCGCGCCCTCCCGGCCTCCTCCTAGGTCCCAGGCCTCCTGCTCCAGGTCACAGCCTCCTGCCCCTGTGCCCCTTCCCCAGCCCAGCCAGGGTGGGGGACCAGATGGGTGGTCCTCTGAGGTGCAGGAGCATGGACCATGCACCAAGGGGTGCCCCCTTGGGAAATGCACACTATGTGCAGGTGGAAGGCTGCCCTGGGCACAGGAACCAGGGCCCAGCAAGACAGACTGGGGACAGAGATGCCACCCAGACTAGCCTGAGGAAGTGCAGGGCTAGGGTCTCCAGCAGCTGATATGACTCATGAGAAGCAGCGGAATAAATGCTGGTATGAGAACCAACATGCAAAGAACCCATTTTTCCTAGATCTACCATTGGCTGGACTACTAGGAACCATGTAGAATTCTCTCTGTAGGGGAAACTGAAGCTCAGAGAGGGTCTATGAGCTGCCTGAGGTCAGTCACACAGCCAAGAGGTGATACAGGATCCTGCTCACATGGACAGGGGATAGAGCCGGGGATTTAGCTCAGTGGTTCCGGCGCCTGCCTTGCAAGCGCAAGGTCCCAAGTTTGATCCACGTTACCAAAAAGAATTCTCACAAGGACCAGAGTTTGATCTCTGGTACCAAAAAAAAAAAAAAAAATTCTCGGACAGGGGACATCTCCTATCCCCAGGAACTGAAGCAGTGGGGCCTCCTGTGGGGCCCTGCTGGGGGATGGGAGCACCAGGCCTATCCTGATGGGATTTGGTCCTCTCCTAGGTGCCCGGGGACGATGCAGTTACAGAGTCCTGCCCTTGGGAGCTGGGTTTCAACAAATATCCACTCTTGTTGCCACCGCTGTTAATGAAAACTTAATAGTGATTTAGTGATTAACACAGAGCTGACCCCAAGAAAGCCCGACATTCCGAGGTGGGGCTGCCACTCCCAGCTGCCCCTGGTTGCTCAGGAACAGGGAAAGCCAGGCCCAGAGCCCATGTGTCATAACCAAAGGCCAGGCACCTCCAGGCCACAAGCTGCCCTGCCAGGATGCTGCATACCTGGAGGCAGGTGGGGGTTCCTTCTTTCATTTAGGTGTTTTAGACAGTGTTTCACTATGTAGTTCAGGCTGGTCCTAAACTTACTATTGTTATAGGGCCAGGCGAGTTGGCACTATAGAGATGCACCACACTCTGAATTAAATAGAGTCCTTTATCACCATAACTGGCATTCCAGGGTGGTTCACACTAAACTCTGGACAAAGGAAAGGCAGTTTGCAGGGTCCTTTTAGGGGCTCTTCTACTTGTGGAGGGCTCAGGGAGAGGGGGAGCACAAGCAGAATTTCACAGGAGCAGAACTTTGCTAAGTTCATGGGGGTCAAGGGAAGTTTCACACAGCTTAATGAAAACAAACTATCACACAGGAGTGGAGTCTTCTGTTTACAAGGTAGTAAAGATAGTTGCAGATTTACACAGGTGCAGAGCATCCCGTTCACGAGGCAGTGAAGATAACATAGTTTCGAACTCACATAGGATGCATCATCCATTAACTGAGGGGACTCCCAAGCAGGAAGAGGAAAGGAACCACCCGGACTTACTCAACTTTACACAAATGAAGTCAAGTTGGCTATCACCCTATGTAAGCCAGACAGGCTGTGGTGATCCTCCCGCCTCAGCCTCCTGAGTGCTGAGATTACAGGTGTGTGCCACCATGCCTGGCACTTGGGTTCCTTCTAATGCTTTGTCCCTTGGGAGCCCTGTCAGTCGGGGGACTCAAGGGTGTGCAGCGATGCTATGACCCTGAGCTATGCAGCAAGTTCCAAGTTGGGTTCCTGGAAAGCGTTCTGGGGCCTGGCAGGAACCTGACCAGAGTTTCGGGGTGGACTGTTCAGTGCAGCTCTGCTAGAGCTGAGAACACCAGCTCTCGAGTGTCCTTCCATTCTGCAGGCATCTGAGGCAAGGGCCCCAGTCTGGGGAATGGGGCTCCCCACTCATGGAAGCTCAGTGCACATGTGCACAAAGTGTGATTAAGGCCCAGGCTGGGGGAAGCAGCTGTAACTCAGGGCCTTCTGAACCTCAGGCCTTTCTCAGAGCCGTAGGGCTTGGCCCTCCCTGCAGAGCAGTGGGGCGGTTGTCTGTGCACAGTAGTCTGCAGCCCCCCAGGGGACCCTCCTGGCACTCCGAAGCTCTCAGCTCACTCAGCCTCTACTGTTTGTCCAGCCGGTCGGTCCCTGAAGGGCACCGGGTCTGAAGGCCGCTCACCAGCATCTGAGCTGGGTAAAGCAGTGCAGAATGGAGGCCTCTTGATTCTGCTAATAGAGGAACCAAGAAATGTCCCCTGGGAAAGGAGAAGTGTCACTCGGGTCCCTGGACGCATGGACCCCCGCCTCTGTCCTCGGTTCAGTACCCATTCTCTGGAAAGCCACAGGCATTCCAAGACTGAACTTTAACGAATCATCTAAAATTCTGTGAATCACCCTGGTCTGGGAAGGGTGTGGGAGGTGACAGAGGAGGGGGACCAGCCTGAAGAGGTTAAATAAGTCGCCTCCAACCTCGCCCTCACGCTCATGCCTGCCGAGCAGAGGGACCTCACGGAGACCCTGGCGCCATGAGGTCCCTGAAGACGCTGTTCCTGGCCGCCCTGCTGCTGGGCGCCTCTCTGCAGTTCAGCCGAGCAGGTGAGAGCAGGGCACAGGGGCTGGGTGCAGGGCCCTGTCTGTGCCCACAGAGGACCTCAGGGGCTGGCAGCCGAGCCTTTGGAGGAAAGTGGTCAGATGAGGACAGTGGTGAAGGTGCTGGGCCCCTGCCCGTGGGGACAGGCTGGGGGCCGGACGGGGTGCAGCGCATCTGGGGCTGCAATGTCAGGAAGCAGTGACCGTGACTGGGTTTGCAGCACAGAACAAATGATTCACACAGTTATGTGTTTGCATCTGTTTTATTAGTGGGTTTTTATGTACAATAAGGGAAGCAGCATAAAGACAGGAGGACTGACTTCAAGAACATGTGAAAAAAGAGGCTTTTATATTCAGTTGGGAAGGGAAAGTTGAAATAAGGTTGCTGGTTATAGATGCACACACGGGTAAGTGCACAAACGCACACAAACACATAGGACATCACAGAGGCCTCTCACACACATGCACATGTGAACAGAGACACACAAAACTGCCCAGTCCAAACACTCGCACATGGACCCACCCCAAGAACACAGGCACAGGGAGACGCAGGGACACACACATGCAGTCACCACATGCGGACACGCACAGACACCACCACAGACACCTTCCCCCAGACCCTCAGACACGGATCCTTCTCTCTCTATAGCTCGAGCCACCAACGTGGGGCGGGAGTGCTGCCTGGAGTACTTCAAGGGAGCCATTCCCAGCAAAAAGCTGGTGCACTGGTACAGGACCTCGTCCGAGTGTCCCAGGGACGCCATTGTGTAAGTCCCCTTCCACTGCACCCCTACTCTGGGGCCGGCCCTGGAGCTCCTGGGACAGCTGCTGGGGATAGAGGCCGAGAGGAGTCCCTTCTGCTCCTGACTAACAGCCTGGCTCCCGGGGCAGCTCCTGAAGCCCACATTGGGGCACCCAAGGGGCTGCAGGCCATGAGGTCCAACCTCTCTGTTGATTTATGGTAAAACTGAGGCACCGGGAGGGAAGGGACACCCCAGGTCATGCACCAGTCGGTGACCATGAGGTCACTTCCCCTTCCTGGGCCGGAGCTAGGTGGAGGACAGCTCCTGCACAGCCCCTCCAGCACCCTGTCTCCAGGCTCTAGGTGGGATGGAGTGGGCACAAGGTCAGCAGCCCTGGTCCCTCCAGCTGTACCCAGGTAGGGCCATGAGTGTCGCTTTCACTGAGCCACAGCAGCCTGATGTCCTAGGGCTGCTGCTGATGGCTGGTGTGGCTTCAGGCAAGTTCTCACCTCTTTGGGTCCTCAAGGTCATGCTCAGCATAGGGCAGGCTGGTCCGGCTCCAGAAGGTCCTTCTGACCCTGACACCCTCATGGCTTCCTTCTGAGCAGGTTTGTGACTGTCAGGGCCAGGCTCATCTGCTCGGACCCTGAGAACTGGCTCGTGAAGAAGGCAGTTAGATACTTGGACAGCCTCAAGAAGTCACACAGGACCACCACCCAGGACTGATTTTTTTCCCTGGACCATTCAGAGACTTCCAGCATCAGTGCTTAGGACCCCATCCCTGAACTGCCTGAGGAGCCACAGTGAGGGAGACCTGTCCCCTTCCCGAACTAAATCCAGGGGCACAGATGAGCCCAGATTAAACAGCCTTTCCCCCTCATCTGGGTCAGCGTGTTCTGTTCCCACAGGGCCGGACACCCGTCTCCTCTGGGCTGTCACACTGCAGGGTCCTCAGAGAACATCTGGTCCTGGCCTGTCCAGGTCAGAAGGGAAACTGAGGCTGGAGGGACGTGGCTGCTGCAGACCATGCACAAGTGAGGGGAGGACCTGGCGGGAGGGTGGGGCTGAGCAGGGCAGGGTGGACAGAGGCTCAGCAGCCCTCAGGCTGACCCTCCCCTGCTGGACCCCCTGGATTTCTCTGTCCCAGGGTTGCTCCCTAGACCAGCCCTGTTCTCACCTGATGCAGACCTGGGAACATGGTTCCCTTTATGCTTTGGATTCAACTGTACAAGTGTTCCCAGGACCCTTCAAGTGCTGGGCAGTTTCCTGGCTGGAATGGGGTTAGGGAGGTGTCCTGCAGCACCAGCCCCGTCTCCCCCTCCCCAGTCCCTCAGCACTCACTGCAGTCCAGCTGACTCCAGAAAAATCTCTGGGGCCCACAGCTCAAACTGCAGCAACTCCACTGAGCCTCCTCCTCCCACCCTGCCCCTCTGCTCCCAGGGTCCCTTTCACCTGCCCCCTCCCTCCCCCTCTCCTCGAAGTCTGCTCCACTTGACCCCATGGCTCCTCCCACCCCAGTCCCACCCACCCGGCCTCACCCAGCCTGAGCCCAGCCCCCACCCCACTCCCATGCCCCCTGGGGTTTCCTCCTGTCTCCCGTGCGGGTCACTCTCCCAGGGATGCCGGCTATGCCCGGCTGTGCCCGTCAATCCCAGCTCTGGGTTACATTGGGAGCTCTGTGAGCCGCTCTGGGTCCCCCCATGCTCTGAAGGTTGGAGACAGGAGCCTCTGTCTAGGCCCAGCTCAGGACTGGAGCCACAGTGGGCAGCAGGAGAGTCAGGGGTCTTTGCATTCCAGGACTACCTCACGCACCGGTCAGCTTCTCTTGGGACAGTCTGGGGCTGAGGCAGCTGTCACTCCTACCACTCACTGAGCCCTGCGTGGTTTGGCAAGGCTGAGGTCTGGAGTCATTTCCAGGCAAGGTGTTTGCCTCCTGCTGCCCCCTTGTGGCCATTCGTCTCATGGCAGGGCAGATGAAACCCACGACCACTATCTAGTAGAGGCAGAAAACAAAAACAAAAACAAAAACAAAAACCAGTTAACAATAAACAGGCTGACAACGGTGATAGGCTGGCTCCTCCGACCCCAGGGTCTCTCCGGGACAAGTGGGCTCTCTTCCTGCCCTGACGCCGAGGGGGACCCCTCGAACAACTGCCTGTCTGAAGGCCTTAAGGAATTAGGTCCTCTGGATCCACCAGGTGGGAGAATAATCTAAAACGGGAGGGACCAGGAGCTCGAGGTCAGCCTGGGCTACGAAATGAGCCCAAGGCCAGCCTGACCTCCATAGCTAGATCCTGTCTCCAAAAAAACCCCTAATTAATAAATATTATTTTAAAAATATTAATATTATTTATTTATTTACTCATTTGAGAGGGAAGTGAAGAGGCTATCTCCTAAGGCAGCAAAGGAGAGCAAGGGCCAGGGCTTGGGTGCTGCACCCTGCAACCGAGCCCTGGAGGACTCAATGTTTAACCCTGTGCACTGCAGTTTTCCTAAAAGAAGCAAGCTCTTTTGGGGAGTGGATAGTGCTGGGCCTGGCGTGTGCTGAGGTCCTGGGTTCAATTTCTAGTACTGGAAGAAAAAGCAAGGACCCCCCCCCCGCCCCCGCCGAAGTCCATAGGGTAAACTCCAATAAGGAGAGGTGCTGGGGGCTCGTGGGGAGGGCCCTGAAAACGAGCAGGCAGGGGTGGTTCCAGGCCACTGGGCAGGGACAGGTGGAGCCAGAACAGGCTGCAGAATGCAGGATTCAGAAGCCAAGTGTTGTAACACCGTCAAGGTACCAAGTAGGTGGAGTGAGATGCTACCATGTTCCCATGGCACATTTGAGACCCCCATGATTGTGGGGAAGGGAGGAAGAAGGGGTGGTGAACAGTGCAAAGAGGCACCAGCCATACATTGCTCCTTCCACCTGGAAGGTAACCGCTTCCTCCACTTCTGAAATCCAGTTCCCATTTGAAGCTCACCTCCTCCCTGGTCTCCTTGGTTGCACCTAACCAGCAATTGACCAGCTCCCCACTCTCACCTGCCCGACATTACACACGGGCTGTCCCCTGCCTTCTAACTGCCTTGGGTTGGATTCACCCAAGGAGCTCAGTGGCGCAGGTATTTGGCTCAGATAATTCAGACCTGGTTATAAGGGGAGGAAGTATTTTGTGCATGGTGGATGTCTGATTTATACATTTTCATCAGGTGAATTCCACAGGGGCACTAGTGGGGAAAGAAATGTCCCAAGGTGCCATAACAGCTTCAGGTCCACACATCCTAAGAGGTGGAAATTAAACTTGGGTCTTTCCCCAATGGCCCACCAGAGGGCGCTGTGCAACAAAATTCTGAGGTTGGGGTGTGAGGCCCAGACTGGCCTCAGCGCTGTCTGCAGGGGGACATCTGATGGTAGCTGTAGGGCAGCTGGCTAGCTCTTCTGGGGGAGCAGAGGCTAGGAAACCACCACATACGCTGCCTGGGGGTAGCTGGGTAGAGAAGAAGGAACAAACGGTGCTGGGGTTGCAGGACCAGATTTCAGGAGAAATGTGGCCATGCTTGGAGTACCAAGCAGGGGTGGCCTGTGTTTTCTGGGTCTGTATTTGCCCACGTGGCATTCATTCATCACAGGTCAACAGCCAAAGTTGTTATAGCTTCTGTGATCCAGATTTTGTGGCTGTTCGAAAATCATATTGTAAAGCCAAAGACAGTGGTACATTGTAGGGAACAGGGGAAGGGGACGTTATTAGAACCTCTGCAATAAGTCCTAGTCTCCTGAGAGCCACGGCAGCACACAGCGAATTACAGGAAAGGTAGAAAACTGAGACTGAGGAGAAACTGAGCTTCGGGTCTGATCAGTGCTGCTCTGGGCAGCAAAGACAAAGACCTCCTAGCTTGCAGCACCTTTTATTTAGTACATCCAGAGAAACAAATGTAACAAATGAAATGCAGAGTTCAGTACCTCACATTGGGATAAACAAGGTGTAACAGAAGACTGGGGGGCAGTGGAAATCTAAGAACAATGAGGAACTATGCAGATGAATATTTGGTTTCTCCCTGGCGTCTCCCACAGGTGTGGTCTTGTCCTGGAGCATTACAGCATCCGGGGATCACTGAGGTCTCAATTGTGACCCGAGGCCAAAATGCAATTATGTCTGGAATGTCCTAGCTGGGCTGTAGGCAGGAGAACTAGGCCTACTCAAATGATTTTTCCCTAGAATTACGTAGCATTGCTCCCAATGGTACATACCTGGAGTCTCAGCTCCTTGGGAGGCCGAGGCAGGAGGGTCATATGAGCCTAGGAATTTGAGACCAGTCTGGGCAACATAGCAAGACCCCATCTCAAAAAAAAAAAAAAATTCTGTGGGGAATGGTGGCACACACCTGTAATCCCAGCACTTGAGAGGCTGAGACAGGAGGATCACTTCGAGTTCAAGGCCAGCCTGGTGAGTTCAAGGCCAACCTGAACTGCACAGAGAGTCCCTGTCTCAAACCCCCCTCCCCAAAAATCTTATTATAAGCCAATCCTGAATCCAGATCACCCACCCTCTCCTTTGTGGAGCTCTCACACCAAGCCAATATTTCCTCTGCCCTGAATCACCCAGCAATAGGAACCAGGCCCAAGGCCCTCTGGGAATCACTCCACCTGGCCAATCCTAAGAGCTCTCTATCTTTCCCTCCCAGCTTTGCCTTTCGTGAGGAAACCCCAGAAAGGCCGTGGCCTAACCTTTTCTGCCTCCTGACCAGCCCCAGTGAGTCACTGTGACTCTACATGGCATGGTGTCCTCTCGTTTGGAAAATGCAGGCGACAGTCTTCATTCAGTAGCACAGCCCTCAGTGTCATCACATGGTCACCTCTGTAAATTCAAATCTCACAAGTGTATTTTAACACAAGGGGTCAGGGGCCTGTTTCCAATTTTGACTTTGCCACTGACTGGCCGTGGACCCTCATGCATTTGCTTCTCTTCCAGAGCCTGGTCTCCACACAACAGTGCGCTTGGGCCTTCTCCGATCTGTGCTCTGCTGGCTGCTTTCCTGCCTCTCACGTTGGCCTTAGGGGGTCCCAGCCTTAGGAACTCTGCAGTTTCCTCCTAATACACGGCCAGTGACCTGGTGTTGCCTATCCTGATCTCCAAAGCCGACACAGCAACCACAGGGATGGAATACTTGGCCAGGCTCGGGGCCAGGGCCTTGTCACACATACAGCGAGTCCAATGGACTCATCAGATCTCACACCTGTGCGTTCGCTGTGGGATTTTCACAGCAGCCAACAGGTGCAAACAGCCCAATGTCCATCCTCCCACAATGGCAGTGGCTGCAGCGTAGAGGAACGTACCACCCTGCCATCAAAGGCAATGATGGGGGACACTATGCTAAATGAAAGAAGCCAGCCACAAAAGGTCACATATTGCATGATGTCACACCATATTGGAAGAAGCAAATCTAGTCAGATCACAGACTGGTGGTATCCAGGGGCAGGGAGAGGGGAGGTGGGAAGCAGCTGCTTAATGACTAAGGCTTTCCTTTCCGGTGATAAAACAGGGAGAGGTGGTGATCACACAATATTGTGAATGTACGAGATGCTGCTGATTTTTCCCCCCAGTGCTGGGGATTGAGCCCAGGGCCTTTGCACTGAGCTATACCTCCAGCCCTTGTGTTTCTTATTTGGAACCAGGGTCTAAGTTGCTAAGCTCAAGCTGGGCTCGAACTTGTGATCCTCCTGCCAATGTTTACTGACTTCACATCTGAAATTTTATTTTTTCACTCCTTGACTCAGATCTGCCAATTCGTGTTTTCATCACACATCTTTCTATGTCTCTTAAATCATCTTGAGCTCTCAAATCTTTGTTTTATTTTATATATTTGTGTAATTTTCAGTAAAAAAAAATATGTGGTCACAGCATCCATCTGCTCTGTGCCTATTGTCTCCCTCATTTGTCTTCATGCTGGGATGGAACCCAGGGCCTTCATTCACACTGAGCTACATCCCTTTCTAAATTTTTGAGACTACTAAGCCATTAAATTGCCTAGGTTGGGGCTCAGACTTGCCATTCTCCTGCCTCAGCCTCCCAGACTGCTAGGATTGCCCAGCTACGCTATCTATATAGATACGATGCTGGCTTCACTTTTTAAACACTGAGATTAGAACGGGGCCAAGTGGTCCTGGAGGTTCATGTCAGGAGGCACAGGACTTTGCTCTAGCATACCAGTATTTTCCTTAAGAGTCAGGGTTTTATGTTTTTCTACTTTCTTAAAACAAAGTTTCCTACAAATTAAAAAAAATACCTATTATATGAATAAGGCATACAAACCAATTAATTAAACACCTGTAAACCTGCTTCCCAGCTTAAGCAGAAGCATCAGGGCTTGGGGGTGTTGCTTGGTGGTAGTTATATGAGGCCCTGGGTTCAAGTCCCAGCATCAGAATAAAAAGAGAAAGCAACAGAAACTTCCTGCTACTCTGAAAGCCCATTTCCCCTCCCATTCCCTCTCAACCCAACTATGACCTTTGTTGTTGTTGTTGTTGTTTGACACAGGGTCTCACTGCGTAGCCTAGCTGGCCTCGAACTTGCTGCAGTCTTCCTGCCTCAGCCTCCTGAACCCTGTGATTACAGGTGTGGCACCATGCCTGGCTGGCCCTGAGTTTTGTTCACCAGTCTCCTTGAGCTTCTTTAGTCATCATATACGTGTATGCATAATCTGTATGTTTCCGTGTGTGTCCCTAATGATGTACTGATGCACCTCACATGGTTTTGAACTTTATTTTTTATTTGTAAGGGTTTTTTTTTGGTACCAGGGATCAAACTCGGGACCTTGCACTTGCGAGGCAGGCATCGGAACCACTGAGCTAAATCCCCGACCAAGACTACCAATCTTGTGAAATGTCTTTATCATTTTTATTTTGTTTTTTAAAAATTTTTGGTACTGGGGATCAAACTCGGGTCCTTGAGCTTGGGCAGCAGGAGGCGAAACCACTGAGCTAAATCCCCAGCCCATTATTTTTTATTTTTGATACCGGGGATCAAACTCAGGACCTTGCGCTTGTGAGGCAGGCATGGTGGTTTTGAACTTTATGTAGATGACCTATTTCTTACACATGCTTCCATGACTTGCTCTTGCAGCTCTGCTTTGCAACCTCTCCAGGCCCACACGCACTGCCACAGGCCATCTTGCTGTAGTGTCCCACCCCACGGTCACACAAGTCACCCATCTACTCTTGCTAATGGCCCACTGGATCCTGACCAGGTTCTTGTTCTCACATGTTGCAGCTTTGGCTATTTTGTTAGCTTGTCTTCTGGTGCATGTAGGGAAGACTTTCTCTAGGGGAGTAGTTCTTAAGCTTGGGTGCACTTCAGCATGACCCAGGGAAGCATTATAAAATGGTGATGCCAGCCAGCTATGGTGGCACACGCCTGTAATCCCAGCACTTGGGAAGCTGAGGCAGGACAATCTCGGTGAGTTCAAGGCCAGCCTGGGCTACATGTGAGATCCTCTCTCAAAAAAAAAAAAAAAAAAGCAGACACCATGGGCCCCGCTCCAGAAGGCACTGACTTACTTGGCCTTTGGAAGGAAAACTCAGTCACACAAGAGCTAGTTTTATTTCCAGAAGTTCCACAGATGATTCTAACACACAGCCCGCATTGAACTGCCTGAAGGAATCTCACCAAACTGCTCCCTTCTGGCCCATACCTGCTGCTGCAGTTGGCGAGTTGCTGCTTAGCCTCTCACAACTGTTCCGTCATTCACAAAGCGGGCGCCTCTTCCCTAGTCCAGCAGCAGGAGTGCTTCCGGTATGCGGAGTTCTCCCTTCAGCCCAGCTGGAGGCCACTGCTGCACCTGTGGTCACTCTGCCACTCAAGGGGCTGCCTGGCCCCAGAACAGTTGGCAGCATTTTCATCCTCCCTTCTTCCCCAGCCACATGGGCTCTGCTCCGGAGCACCTGCTTTTCACACCTCCAAAGTTTTGGCTGCCACCTAACCCCACGGTGTGGTTTGTTTCTGCTGCCCACTGCACTTGCAGCTTGAGTGACTTCAGGTGGGGACAGCACCAGGCGCCTGATGCATATCTGTGACCCCAGCACTTGGGAGGCTGAGTCAGGAGGACTGAGTGTAAGGCCCGCCTGGAGTCCATGGCAAGGCCGTTTTAGAATACAAACAGAAAGCAGGCAAGGGGGAATCCTAAATGTACACTGCCAGGTTCTAGCAAAAGACCGTAAGACAGATTCTAAACCAGTTAAGATGCCCAGTCCCCTCAGACCTACCGATCTAGAATGTCCACAGGTGACATCAGGCATTTGTACTTTCCATATGTTTTGGTTTTTGTGGTGCTGAGGATCCAACCCAGGTCCTTCTTCAACTGAGCTTGGTCCCCAGCCCCAGGAGTCTGTATTACAAAGTACTCTGGCGACGGCCACAGGTCACCCTCCAGCTCTGTGTTTCCTTAACTGTAAATTGAGGTTGCATTCGGGATACCCGACTGCTGTTTTGGGCTCCAATGTTGTGAGCTCCCAAAATAAACCTCTCCCCTTAGAAATGCCCCCTTGCAAAGTCACAAACATAAGGACCAGCTGTCCCCTCCCATGTCCCCTCACTGTGTGAAGCCGGACCTGGGCTCCAAGGCCCAGATGTGCACTGCTGACTGGCAAGGCCTCTACCATCCTCCAGCCCTGTCCCTGTAGGATGACACAGCAGCTGTGACACAATCCCATCAACCATGCCACCCAAAGCTTCATCCTGTGCTAGCAGTGGCTGGGACTCAGAACCAGGCAGGGCAGCCAAGGACTGGGGCACATGCTGAGCTCGTCCTGGAAAGCTCTGGCTCAGGATCGTGGCAACTGCAGCCAAACTACCGACAAGGGCTTAATGGCTCGGTAGACACACCATCGTTAAGCTTTCCCGGCTGTTAGTTTCTGTTGCCGTGTAACAAGTCACCAGCCACTTAGCTGCTTCAGACATCTGCTTATTACACTGGTTTCTGTGGGGCCTCCCACAACTATAGTGGGGGCACCACCCTTCTTGTGTGGACTTGAGGTCCTCGTCCAAGCCACATGCTGTTGGCGGGACTGAGATCGTTGTGGTTGGACTGAGGGACCCGCTGTCTCAGTGGCTGTTGGGAGCATACGTCCTTGCTTGGACCTCTCACAACTTGGCAACTTCTATACCATCAGGGAGCTCTGTTCTCTAGTTCTTTTCAAGGATCACCTGACTGCATCAGGCTTGCTCAGGATAATCTCCCTTCTAATCAACTTAAACCAGCAGGAACTTTAACTACATTTGCAAAATCCCTTGGCTTTTGCCACAGAACCTCCTCTAATCCCAGGAGGGAGATCCCATGGCTTCACAGGTCTTGCTCAGGGGTGACACAGGGGCATGGGTCACTGGAGGGCATCTCGGCACCCTGCCTCCCGCTGGCTTGGGAGCCCAGCTTTAGACACAGCACTAACTACAGCAGGGACCAGAAGGAAAAACAAGTCAGGAGAATCAAACCAAGCTTTGCAGACAGATACCAATTAACACTTATTTATTGGTGAAACAAAAATCCAGGTCTCTTAAACCCACATGATCTCTCCAAGTATTTGGCAAGATCCATTCTGGGTCTGTGGATGCACAGCAAAAACACAGAGTGCTGTTGGGTCAGTCTTCCCTGCTTCTCCCCAACCTGGACTCCTCTCAGAGGAAGAGGTGCTCATTGCATGTACAGCACTGGCCCCACTGTTCAGGCCACCAAATTCCTCCAAAAAGAGCGTTTCCCAGTCCAGGCAGAGCATGGATGATACATGGACACCACATGCACCTACACACCCCTTATTAGTGTGCAAGTGTAACACCTGTCGGTGAACAGAAATGACAAGAGACACAGACACGGGTGGAAAAGGACAGAGGGACACAGGATGGGATCACAGTAACCAGCAAGTGACCCCTTTGGTGACCCGAGGTCATGAGACAGTTGACTTAAGTCACTAAGAGTGTGTATTGAATGCCCCACCTACTTGGAAGGGCAAGTAGATGGCAGCGTCACTGAGCTTCGGGGCATAAATACTCAAGGATACCTGGGCTCAAGAGAGCATGGTCAGCGCTTTATCATGAGGTCCTAACACTCAGTGAGGAGGCAGGGGCTGCTTCGGGGAACCAGCCTCTGCCATGCCTTGGTCTTTTGGGAGACAGCAGCACTAACACCACTGCACTGCAGCCAGCCTCCCTCTGTCAACAAGCGACTCCCCAAAAATGATTTCAGAGATTTCCAACAGAGAGAATGAGTCCACAGGAGGCAGGAGGAGAGGGTCAGGAGAAGCTTCGGAGGAGCAGACGTGGCAGCAGGGGCCCTCCTAGGCATCGTGCAGGTTGCTATTGCTCAGGAGCACCTTCTCCCCGGGCTTGAAGGCTGGCATCCCTAGGTAGGGGCAGCTGGCGCAGCGGAATGCATCGCCCAAGTAGCACTATGGAGAAAGAAAGGGAAGTCACACAGGGACACCCGGGGCCAGCTCACCCAAGACCCGGGCCCGGGAGGAATGTCTGGATGCATTCGTAGGTCCAGCAGGACCCAAATACTAGGAGTTTTCAAGATCTCTAGTTTCATAAAAAGTCAAGAAAAGCTCCTTAGGAGGCCATGTGTCTCTATTCTAACCATTTCAAATCATAGCCAAGCTCAGCCAAATGGCCAAATAACTTCCAGTCCCGCTCTGAGGCAGAAATAAAGGGACTAAAAGTAAGAAAGGACTATGCTTGCAAGCAAGCAAGTCTCTTAGTTTGGGATGATGCCCTCCACCACAGGGGACCACAAGCTGTAAGGTCCAGATACTTACATTTCCGCAGGCTGACTTGGGCTGCGAGCTCTTCTGGGCCTCTGACTTCTCCTTCTCCAGTTCTTCTGCAAGGCCACAAGTGCTGGGGGAAACCAGTTGCTACTGACGGAGATTTGCCACTACCCAGAAACCCCAAATCCACAACAGAGCCAAAATGTACTCTAAGACTTCTCTTTTCTCTAAAGCACAGGTACCTTGGGGCTAGGCAGAAAACAACATGCCAGCCTTGTCCTGCACTCTTAATCATGGAGAAGCGTGGGGTTACCAGGCACCTCAAGAAAGGTGACCATGCCTGCCTTGCAAGCGCAAGATCCTGAGTTTGATCCCCAGTACCAAAACAAACAAACAAGCAATCATGGTTTTTTTTGGTACCTGAGATTGAACTCGGAAACTTGCACTTGCAAGGCAGGCACCGGAACCACTGAGCTAAATTCCCGGCCCCCGAAACAACCAATCAAACAAAAACAAAAACAAAAGAACCAGAAACTATGCAAGGAGGAAAAAACTTAGATCAGGATCTTCAAAAGAAAAGATGTCACATTCATGAAATAAAACCAGGATGCATTATTTAAAAAAAAAAAAGTCAAGGACAGGGCCGGGGATTTAGCTCAGTGGTTTTGCCACCTGCTGTGCAAGTGCAAGGACCTGAGTTCGATCTCCAGTATCAAAAAAAAAAAGTCAAGGACAAAAAAAGTCAACTTAGAAATAAAAACAGAATAGTATGAATAAAATAACATTGGACGTTTTGGAGGATAAATGAAGAAATCTCCCTGAAAGGGGCACGTGGCAAATGTGAGAGAAAAGGAAATTACAGGACCAAAGAGTCCAAAATCTGAGTCTCAGATTACTCAGAAAAAAACAAAGAGAAGATGAAACTCCGAAACAACTTTTTTTTTTTTTTTTTTGAGAAAGGGTCTTGTTATGTAGTTCAGGGTGGCCTTGAACTCACTGTGTAGCCCAGGTTGGCCTTGAATTACTGGCAATTCTCCTGCCTCAGACTCCCAAATTCTGGGATTATAGGTTTGTGCCACCATGCCTGGCTAAACAGAATTTTTTTTAAATGTCCCAAGACCACAGACATGGTTTTTTACAGAAAAAGATGCACTAAGTGGTTAGTACAAAATATGAAAACAAATCTCCATTCAAGTCATGCTATCACAAAATGATAACAGAGATAAAGAAGATTCTACAAATTTCTGAAATAGAGAAAGAAGTCTTATGGAAAAGATCAAGATGCTCTAATAGAAAGGATCAAAGATACCTGTCTGACTTCAGATGTCAGAATAATGAGAAGAAAACAACAGAACAATCTCCAAATTATAAGAAAATTATTTCCAACCAAGATTTTTAAACCTTAGTCACCAACCATTTATGAGTAGAACACAGGTATTTTCACACACACACACACACACACGCAAGTTCGCACAAGCACATCTAAAAAAATGAAAAAACAACAAACCAAAATCCAACATTTACTTTCCAGGTAGCTTTTCTAAAAAACCACGGAGAATATGCTCCCCCAACACCATAGAGAAAACCACGAGAGAACACCATGAAACACAGGAAATAAAAGCTAACACAGACAGAGGCAGAGGGGAGGGACTCTGCAGGGAACAGTGAAGGCAGATGCCAGCACATCAGCTCTGCGACAGTCACATGAGACAGACACACTGAAGGCTGCATCACCATGATCCCTGTTGGCACCATACCATTATGTCACCCAAGGCCAGGCAAGTCAGCCTGATTCTGTCCTCAGCTCACCTCAACCGTGTGCTGAAAATGTCCAACTTTCTGTGCCACACTTGAGGCTGGACCTGCTGACGACACTTGTTCCTGCTCTGACCTACTCCTGTCAGCAGATCCTGGGCTACAACAGGGCTAGAGTAGTCCCTCCCTGACCACATTCCGGCCGCCCTTCAGGTCACTGCACCTCTACAACCCTGCCTGCTGCTCCACGTGCATGCACTGTGCCCTTCATTTCCTCCAACTCACCCAGGACTCTTCCCACTAACTTCCCTGAGGGCCTCTTGTCCACTCTCAATGAGGCTGAGACCAAAGCAAACCAAAGATACTGGCCAGCCTCCCCAACCCCCCCTGCTGCCCCAGCCCTTATGTAATGTGGGAATATTTACAGAATTGGGTATGGACTCGGACTCATGCTAAAGTACTGTTTGCAGATTCACATGTAGGTGGTCAACTATCAAAAACCCATGAATGATGAACACAGACTTGGAACAACAGTAACCTTTTTAGGGGAGGAGCAAGATGCGGCTGAGGAAGCACACATAGGTGATGTGTATGTAAGGTACTAGTAATGTTTCTGTTCCTTTTTTTTTCTTTGGTACCAGGGATCGAACTCAGGACCTTGTGCTTGCGAGGCAGGCAAACGGAACCACTGAGCTAAATTCCTGGCCCAATGTTTCTGTTCCTTAGTCTGGGCGAAGAGTATGTGGGTGCTTGTCATTCTTTAAAATGTACATGTTTAGGGCCGGGGATTTAGCTCAGCGGTGCCCCCACAAGGTCCAGAGTTCGTTCCCAGTACCAAAAAAACCACCAAAAGTGCACGTTTAATTGACTCCACACGACACTCTCACAATAAAACATGCTCTAATACAGTCAAGCATCGAGGACTTGAGACTCGAGCCACAGGCAGCAGCACTCACCAGTTCTTGCAGGCCTTCCTCTTTTTCCCCTCTCCGCAGGAAGCAGCCCGCAGGGAAGCAGGATCAGGCTTTTTCAAATCTTCTGGATCCAGCAGCTCATCTGAGTCAATGAGATCCTGGAGAGTATTCAAAGCAATTAGCGATGCAGTTGAGATCTAATGAAAGCTAAATTAGTGATCACAGCTGATGCAAGCAGACTATCAAAGAAGGCATCATCTGTGCCCTACTTTGGACTGATCACCGCGCTCAACCCTACAGATCAACATGCTCATGACAAGATGCACTACAGTATGAAAGAACTGGGAGCTAACTTACAAGAGAAACACCTATTAGACTGGCTCGCAACATGGAGGCAGGGAAGGGAGGGGGAAGAAGGGTGGGAAGAGGGAGAGAGGGAGGAAGGGGAAAGACAGGTGGGAGCAGGCAGAAGAGAGGGAAGGGCTGTATTTACTTGAATATATGAAGAGTCATGTGGAAAACAGAGTAAAATATTTTCTACATAATTCCAGAGAAAAGGGCAAATACTTGCTTGTGTAATTCTTTGTAAACATATGGACATGACCTACTTTCCTCACCACTCTCTCACCTCAGTAGTGGAGGTGTGGAAGGAAGGACTTGATTATACACAACTTTGACCAAAGACGGAAAGGACTGTTTTTAACACTGTGAGTACTCAGTGACTTGTCCAGATAAGGGGGCCAATAAAAAGTCCAATGGACAAACTCTTTTCTGGTTTACAAACATCCACAAGGGTTTCTTATATATCACATAAAGTGAGAACCAGAAAATCTGTGGGGAAAAGATGTTAACAAATAAACTGAAAATGCTACCAAGATGCAGTGTCCTTCTAAGCCACAGGCACCAGCAATAGGCACAGACGCAATGCTAGGCTTCAAACACATCCACACGTGGGAGTCACTCTGACCTATGGCTGTCGCACATAAGGCAGGGCCTGGAAGTGGCAGTCGATGACCACAGTGCCAACTCACCATGCTATCATCCTCCATGTCATTGGCTGAGAGGGTCCAGAGCTTAGCGGCAGCAGGATCCACAGCAGGTTTCACTGAGTCCAACCAAAAAAAGAAAAAGAGCTCCATAAAACCAGCCCGAAACAGACTACAAGCAACATCACAGAAGTGCTTTCCACAGAGCCTGTGCAGAACAGCTGGAGGGCTCAGAGGCTTGGCACAGCTCCACCTCTTACTGAGACAGGACTCTGGGCTTTAACACACGAAGAAGTCTTCACTTCCGTGCTGCTTTCTCTTAGTTATCTTAGCTTCTACCCCTACAACATGGAGCTAAACAGTACTCCCTCTACCTACTGTAGGTATTTTGAGGATTACATGAGCAATCTGTCAAAGACTTCATTAAGTGACAAATTTTCAGCCTTCCCTAAACCTGTTATATGAGAATGAGGCACTGGAGCTGCTGGTGGCAAGGTCACATAAAGCGTGGCAGACACAAACTTCACACCTTCTGATTGTCCAGGTCAGGAGAATACAAAGGGCCTGAGACAGCAGAGACCTGGGGGGCTCAGAAGGCTTCTGTCATGAGCAACCTCAGTGATCACTGTCATAGCTGAACTTCAGAATTTCCACCAGGCCAGCTGCTCATCTAATCTGCTCCTACCTATTCTGGAACAGTGAACTAAAGGTTAGATTCCAAAGAGTTTCTTGAAGACTTAGGCTGGTTAGTCAAAAAGGTGCGGTGTGGATATGCCAGGAAATAGCTGTGAAGTTCTGCACTCCTCCCAGCAGGGACAGTAATTCAGGCATTGAAAACAGTGACAGGAAGGGTGAAGTGGTAAAGTGTGTGTATACATGTGCATGCACTGAGCTTTCTGGGTGGAATACAGTTGTATAAGCATCATAGGATCCACAAAATAAGAAAAGCTGACTTAACTGGTATGAGAAAAAACCCTGTGGGCTCAGTGTGGTGGTGCATATCTATAATCCCAGCTATTTGAGGATGTTCTCAAGTTTGAGGTTAGCCTAGGTAACCTAGTGACTTTGTCTCAAAATAAAATAAAAAGGACTTGGGGCATAGCTACAGTGGTAGACCACTTGCCTAGGATTCGTAGGGGCCAAGGTTTAATCCAAGTACTGCAAAAAAAGAGAAAAAAGCCCTGCAACAGGACGAGGGCACCTAATCTACCATTGCCAGTACCATGAGGTGTTCTGAGGGTGACTGCTGTACCTCTGGGGACTGGAAAATGTCATTATCTAAACATATGACTCTGGCCTCCAAAGTAAGGAGACTTCTGGTGGGAAGGGGCTGCACTAGATAATATCTATGCATTATTGCAAGGCTGGATCCTAATACGCCTGGGATAAAAGCACATTATGCATTCTACAACTTGGAAATGACAGACATTAAAGGACTAATCCTCTAAAAATACTTGGATTCCTGACTCAATTTCCAACATGTCCTTCCAGCCCCATTCAAACAGAAGTATGTGCAGGCTGGCCTTACCTGAAGGAGATACCTTCTTGGTGATGCAAAGTTTGAGCTGACTAGAAGAACCCACTTCAAAGTTGGGCTTTTTGCCTGTGACCTGAACAGACAGCAGACTGTCGCTGTTGTAACTCAGGTGTTCTTGGGCAGACTGCATCTCCTCAGGGCTCAAGGGGTCCCTCTGCAGCTGGAATTCAAGACATTAAAGGGATCACACTCATATCAAATGTCCGCCCGCACAGAATTAAACACACATTTCTGTGATTAAATATAATAGGAGATAACAGAATGTCACAATTCATATCAGAGCCCTAATTTTATCAGTATGTTAGCTTTGATCTTACCCTTTGGAAAGAAAGTATTTATAAAATACAAGGTACAAGAAACCTGATCATTGTGGGAGCTTAATGATTATGATTATAAAGATCAGTCAGACATGGTCCCACTGTATAACAGAAGCATGCTCACAATGAAGACTGTAGAACTCTTTAATCTAAAGGAAAAGTTTCTTGAGAAGTTACAGATAATAAAGGTAGCAGGGGAAAGGGATCAGGGTACCAACTCCATGGCCAATAGTTATTGAATTTTTTTTTATTTTATTGAGACAGGGTCATAGTCAGGCTGGCCTTGAACTCATTATGTAGCCCAGGCTGGCCTCAAACTTGTGGTGATCCTCCTGCCTCAGCCTCCCAAGTGCTGGGATTATAAGGGGGTAACACTACAACTGGCCAGTTATTGAATTTTAAATAAACCAAATAGTCCTCCTGCAACATGGAAAACCGTTACATCATTAATAAAATGAGGGCAGGAAAAATATACTGAAATTGCTAAGTGTCTAAGATATCTAAGGATGGGAAAAAAATCTAGTAACTGAACAATGTATACATATGAATTTATTTACAATTTTAAAAGTATGTGGATACATATTATGGCAAATACAGAGGAAATAGTCTGAATAGAAATACAAAAATGCATGTTGGTTCGCCGCCTGCTGCACAAGTGCAAGGACCCTAGTTCGATCCCCGGTACCGCGCCCCCCCCCCCCCCAAAAAAGTTTATTTGGGCCAGGGATTTAGCTCAGTGGTTTCGCCACCTGCTGAGCAAGTGCAAGGACTCAAGTTTGATCCCCGGTAACAAAAATGCATGTTGGCTTCCTCTAGGAAAATAAGTGTAAAAGAAGACTAGATTACTTTATATTTTATATTCTTCAGTATAAATTGAATTTTTACAAGCATTCCTTATTTTAGAACCAAACACAAAAAGCTTTAAAGGAAAAGGAACAGTAGATACAAAGAATCTAAGGCACTAGATCGTGTAAGAAGACAGTAACAGTTATCCTGGGATAGTACATACTTTTCCCATACTCAAGATAATTTAACACTGAAGAATATGGAAACATATACACACTTATGTTTAATTCAATTATCTCCACTGGATTGTCAGAAATGTGATTTCCTCCCAACTTACCCTGTCTCCCACCAGAAGTGGGAGGCTGGTCTAGATGATGGTGATTCAGTGGGCCTAGGATTTGTGTCTACTGAGATGGGGCTGAAAGGGCTGAGCTGCTGCTTGTTCCTGCCCTGTTGGAGCCACCACTGGGATTCAGGACAAGCCACCCCCAGGCACCCAGCCAAGTCTCTCCAAAGGAGATCTGCCCCCTGAAGGCCTCACAGATACCTCGTGTGCACCAAGTCTGGGCTTGTTTCCTCGTTCTGGGCAACACTGCCCTGCCGGCCCATGACTGCTCTGACAAGCAAACTCTGGGTTTGTTAACCAAGGTTTAACCCAGCAAAGAGGGCTGTCTACACACATACCTACCTCTTTCACTTCCACAAGACCAGACAGAGTCAGGGCTGAACACAATTTAGATGCCGTCTTCACTTTGCTATTGTTAGCTGCCAAGAGGAAAACCCCAATCAATAGCTTTATAGATCAAAGCAGGAAGAATAATTAAGGCTCTATCCTTTATAGGTCAGTAGATACACAAATAATAACTTTTCTGTCTAAGGTATATATAGTTTACTTGCATTTCTATTATTTTGATGAAATGTGTCATATTTTGATTGAAAGTGTTTTGAATGACTTTCTTATAGCTACACCACTAAGCCAAAGATTATTAATTCTTAGACATTGTCATTAGTTTCAAACAATAACTACTTCATCACTGTTAGACTTCCAAGCTTTATTATTATTATTTTTTTGGACCGGGGATCAAACTTGGGACTTTGCGGTTGCGAGGCAGGCAGCAGCGCCACTGAGCTAAATCCCCAGCACTCCAAGCATTATTATTATTATTATTTTTTTGGTACCGGGGATCGAACTCGGGACCTTGCGCTTGCGAGGCAGGCACCAGAACCACTGAGCTAAATCCACAGGCCTCCAAGCATTATTTTTAAACTCTTTATTCTGAGCCAGGTGTGGTGGCACAGGCCTGTAATCCCAGCACTCGGGAGGCTGAGGCAGGAGGATCGCCGCAAGTTCGAGGCGAGCCTGGGGTACATAGTGAGTTCAGGGCCAGCCTGAACTACAAAGTGAGACCCTGCCTCAAAAAACCTCTTTACTTTGAAATAACCATAGATTCACAGGAGCTATCGATTCATACACATGCACAGACACACAGACAAGTTCACAGAAGCCCGTAGATCCTTCACCTGAGCTCCCCCATGCTAACATCCCTCAAAGTATGCAAACAAGGAAATTGAAATACTACCCTGTTGCAGCCATAGGCACCTCCTCTTTCCCATACTTAACCCCTGGCAACCACTATCATGATATTCTTTGCTATAATTTTAAGAGTATGAATAGAATCACATAGCACAGAACCTTCTGAAACTGGCTTTTTCCTCTCTGCACAATAGTTTGCTCTGTTTTACTGTTACACTGTTTCCATACCAAAGTTTAACTTTTCATCTGCTAATGACCCAGCCATTTTTAGGTGGGAGTTTCCTTCTAATTTATTATCTAATGCATCAACCAAAGATCATAATTTCTTCAGCTCTGTTGCCTCAGATTTTAACAATAACATATCCCTAAGGGGTAGGTTCTTCTACAAGAATACTGATCTCCAAATGATATCTTTGCTACCTTTTTGGTTTTGTTTTTTAAGATAGAGTTTTGCTATGTAATCCAGGCTGGCCTTGAACTCACTAAGTAGCCCAGACTGGCCCCGAATTTGTGGCAATCCTCCTGTCTCAGCCTCTCCAGTCCTGGGATTACAGGTGTGCACCACAACATCGAGCTCAACCCTACGAACTCTTACCTACAGCTGTCTCTACTGGTTCTTTCAGAAAAAGGCACCCGCCAGGGCGAAGGATCCGGGCCATCTCTGCCAAAACCTCAGGACTATGCAGAGTAGTGCTTCCTGGGATTACCCCCGACAAAATAATGTCGAAGCTGGATTCCTTGTGGGCAGCTGAAAAGAAAGAATGCCTAATCAGCAATCACCTAAGCCCCAGAAGCAATTTCCCAAGCCCTCCCAAAAGCTATGAGCTCCTACCTGTTTCAGTTAACTCTATCAAAACACAAGCACTAGCAAGAGGCAATGGGGCTCTGCCCTGCTCCCTCAGCCTTACTAACTTCACATCCTTTCACATGCTCAGGGCAAGACATGAAAAAGGAAGCAAGATGAAGAGCAAGCTTTCAAAACATCAATGTGGAATACAGAAATCAACTATATTTTAAGTTTCCTATATGAAAAATAACACATTTCCACTGAAAAATAACAGCGACCAGCCACTGTTTTCCTGTGCCACCCAGAACAAAAACTCAGACACCAAGGAATACAGACCCTGGCACTCTCATCAAAGCCCTTCCAACCCTGTGTAGACCAAGTGGGTAGATACTTACACTGCAGCAGCTGGTTGATGTTTTCCACAGATACTCGGTCCTCACTGCCAGTTAACCCTTGCAGTTTATCCACCAGATCTTTCAGGGCTTCCACAGGGGCTGACTTATCCCAGATCACTGCCACCAGCTGGCCTGCTGAGACCCCGAACTCTGCCATTCCTGCAGTGTTGACGAGCCTAAAAGCTCCTGACCAAAAGAGAATCAAGACCAAGCAGTGCAATTTAATCCGAGAGTATCACCAACTACGATTAGAATCACAACCTACTTCCAACCTCCCACGGGCAAATGCATTAGAGATCTTAACGCAGATGCTAGAGTCTAAATAAATGAACCTATTACCTCAAGGCTTCATAATCCTAACATTCCCCAACAAGCCACGTGGCTAGAATACTGACACAGCAGTCAAGAAAAGGGAGTAGGTGAGCTAAGGGTGAAGCTCAGCGGTACAGCCCTTGCCTAACCCTGGGATTGCTCTCCGCACAGCAAAAAAAATTAAAGTGGGGTGGGGAGGTGGGGTTTAGAGAGAAGGAAGGACATTAGAAACAGAAAGATTATTTCTTCTTTGAAGTAACTCAGCTTAAATAGAATATAAAACACAAGGCATTAATTAGGCAGAAGCATGACTCAGCAAGGAAGGAAATAAATTGGCAGGCATAACCCAACCACCCCTTCATGTTTTTTTAAAAAAGATAGCACATTTACATTTTGCAAACTGAATACTATTTTCTCTTTCATAAAAAATATATAAACCCTGATAGGTCTCCCACCACCTCAGCAGCTATTATGTATAGTAGCTGCCCTCCTCCTATGGTGCCTTGCCCCCTCCCCTGTGTGAGGTCATGCCAAGATGGTTGCTCCCACCAGAGAATAAACCCTTCTTCCCAGTATGCCCCTGTTCCCACCTAGAAAGTAACCTAATACTCGCTCACCTCCTACCATCTAGTGACATCACTGGCTCCTCCATTCCCTAGTCACTACCTCACTCAACCCCACCTCAGCCCCTACAAACCCCACCCCAGTCTCTATAAAAGACTCTCCCTGCCCCGGCCATATTGCTTTTGTCTCTCCTTTGTTCAGAGACAGTCCGGCAGATCTAGTCCCCTAATAAAGGCTTGTTGTGGCCTGGTCTGGTCTTGGTCTTCGGCCCTTTTACCTGACAAATCCAGTCAGGTGTGGTGGCACATATCTGTAATCCTAGCACTTGAGAGGCTGAGACAGGAGGATTGCCATGAATTGGAGGCCAGCCTGGGCTACATAGTAAGTTCAAGGGACCTGAGGCAACTGACATTGTGCAAGTCACACAACCAGGAGAGTTATAAGGATAAAGTAAGGGCTAAGATTTGAATCCCAATCTATCTGGGTTTTTCTGTTTTGTTTTGTTTTGGTACCGGGGACGGAACTCAGGTCCTTGCACTTTCGAGGCAGGCGGGTGGCACCACTGAGCTAAATCCCTGGCCCTGAATCCCAATCTATCTGATCATGAAGCCCATGTTTAAAATCTCCGGCCACCCCCCCCCCATCAACTTTTTCTTCTACTTGATACACAGGTGAGTATGTAAAGCGCTTACAATGAAATTAGGTCAAGAGATAGCAAGTTGTTTAGCTTCTCCTTTCTTAAACATTAATGCCACCAAATTTCTGACTTAAAGTAGGTAAAATACATGAAACAAAAAGAAAAGTGATACAATAAGGGTCAAGCATGGATTAATTTTACCCTGAACACTTGGGACTTCCGCACAGGTGGCTGACAGTGACAATTATGTCACCACAAACACTCTGGGCCTGAATTTAAGCTGCATACCCTACATTCTTCCTTCTTTAAAAATGTTCCCTTTAAATGACTGCCTGGGCATGGTGGCACATGTCTGTAATCCCAGCACTGGGAAGCTAAGGGAGGAGGATCACTGAGTTTGAGGCCAGCCTGGGCTACATAGTGAGTCATGGTTAGCCGGGAACTAGTACAAAGCAAGACCCTTTCTCAAAACAAAGCAAAAATCATAAACAAAAACCAGGAAAAAACAAATGACTGTCTCCTCTGTCTACAAACCAGGCCCATCAACCGCAGTCATCTTTCTTTTTTTTTGACAGTGCTGGGCCCAGAGCCTTGTGTGTTGGGAGCATTGCTACATAATTTTAGGGTAAAATCATTTGGTTAGCCTAGTTCTCCTGCCTACAGCCCAGCTATGGAATTCTGAGACATAATTCCATTTTGGCCTCCGGGTCACAACTTGATACCTCAATGATCCGGTGATGCTGTGATTCTCCAGGACAAGATTACACCAGCTGAAAACATCCTGGGAGGAACAAAATCTTCATCTACACAGTTCCTCATTGTTCTTGGATTGTTACATCTTGTTTACACGGATGTACTAGGTGCGGTAAGCTGGGGGCTTTCGTCTTTGCCACCCAGAGCAGCACTGATCAGAACCAAAGCTCAGCTTCTTCTCAGTCTCATTTTTCTACCTTTCCTGTAATTCGCCGTGTACTGCCGTGGCTCGAAGGAGACTAGGACTGACTTACTGCAGAGGTTCTAGTAACCCTTTCCCTGTTCCCTATACTTGTACACCCAAGGCAAGTGTTCTACCACTGAGCAACACCTCCAGCCATTTCTAGAGCAAAATCAAAACTCCTTAGCCTGAGCCAGGCTTAGTGGTACATGTCTATAATGCCAGCAGTCTGGGAGGCTGAGGCAGGGGATCACAAGTCTGAGCCCAGCCTGGGCAACTTAGCAAGACCTTGTCTCAAAAAGGGCTAGGAATGTAGCTCAGTGCTTGAAGGCCTTGGTTTCAATCCCCAATTGTGTGCACATGCACGCGTGCAAACACACACACATACACACACACCTTAGCCTGCTGGACTCAAGGCCTTCATAATCTGACCCACCATTCACATGAATCCTTATTCTACAAAAAGTCTTTCTATTGTCACTATATTGTGGATTTTACCTGTCTTCATGTGAACACCCTTTATTAACCCTGATCTGACTACAATCACCAGTAAAAAAGGATGCCGGTAGGCAAACAGGCAGGCAGGCAGGCAGGATTCGTTAGTCATTTAATTTTGGATTTTAAATCCCTAAAAGAGCACACACTGAAAAATGAAACTTTTAAGCTTTTAACTGTCACATGATGTTGAAGAACCTTTGTAAAATCTTTAAGATGAGTAACTTGGGATCAATCTCACATTTTAAAAATAGCCAGGGACTGGGGATTTAGCTCAGTGGTTCCGCTGTCTGCCTCGCAAATGCAAGGTCCTGAGTTCGATTTCTGGCACCAAAACAAAGAAATAAATAAGCCAGCCAGAGAAGATGAGTAGACTCTTGGGCAGTAAATTCTAAGAAATAAATGACCTTAAATTCTATTTACCAATGGGTCTTATTAGGTACATGACCATAAGTTATTGTCTTTTCTGAGTCTATTTTCCCACCAACAAATAGGGATAGTAGCCTCGTATTTTGCAAGGCTGCTGTAAGAAACAATGAAAAGATAAGTGTAATGCAGTCAGCAGGATATGGTAGAGTTCAGTGAAACAATGTTCTGAGAGAATGCTGGGCTTCTACTTCTCCATTGCCAGTTTATTTGCCTTTGCTGCAAATAGTACTATAAAGCTTATTTTCCCCCTCAGCCATGCTTGATAGGAGGATTCCCTAGGGAGCTACTCGAAGCTTCCTTTTCATCCTTACAACTGCAGTGTGATGGCTAGACTTTAAGACACCTTAGACAGCACCCGCCTGGGACTGTGTCTGTCAATTAGAAGACTGAATAAAATGTCTTGCTTTCATTTCTCCCCCAGCTAATCTTGCAGCTAGAGGGAATTCATAATATACATTTATTAAATATCAACTACCCCCAAATAGGCATACCCCCTACCATCGGTCAGTATTTTCTAAATAAAATTGGAGACCATATCCTTTTAAATTTTTAAAAGCCAAAGTGTGATACTTTTCATCATCAGAGTTTTGTTTTCTTACTGTGAATCTGTTAAAAAAAAAAAGAAAATAATACCCAGCACCTAAGCCAACATACTTAGGAGCTGTGACTCGGGGCCAAGTTTCACAACTAAAAAGAGGTGGAGTAGATCTTGTCACATCACTGACCTTGTTTGTCAGATACTTCTCCAACGGACTCCTGCATACACTTACCCAACGCTCTTATAAAATGTTGTAGGCAGACAGTAAAAGCAGATGTCTGTGAATACCACACATATGCACTTGTTTATTTTTAAGGTATCCAAGAAATCTCAAATCTTGCTTCCTCCTTGGAAGGGAGGGGATGATCAAGGGCTGGGGGTGTAGCTCAGTGGTAGAACGCTTGCCTAGCATGTGCAAGGCCCTGAGTTCAATTTCTGGCATGCCCCCCCACACACGTGGCCAAAGCTAAAATATGACTGAAGTTTGGGCTTTAGTTCAAGGATCAAATACTTTTAAATTAGGCACATTAAAAAAATTCTCTAAATACCGCTAGTTATCAGAAAGTGAAATTTTAATTAAAATTAACAAATTGAAGTTCACATGTACACAGTGAAAAAATTTTTCAAAGGCTGGCAGGTGTTGGGTTGGGCAGGTGGATCACCAGGATTTCCAGGGCAGCCTGGGCTACAGTGAGCTCAAGGCCAGCCTGAACAACATAGCAATACCCCATCTCAAGACAAAAAACCCCCATATATATTTATATAACAGATTTGGGGCTGGAGTGTAGTTCATTGTAGTGTGTCCTGCCTTGGTTCATGTGCAAAGACCTGGATTCCATTCCTAGTGCCTAACATTAGTTTCCACAGGAAAGAACCTACTCAAAGATGGGTAGGCAGAACTCAGAAAATGAAGCCTAGACAGGCACAGCGGTGCATACTTACACTCTCAGCTACTCTTTTGCTGAAGCAAAGAAAATCAGAGCCTAAGAGTTTGAGACCAGCCTGCTGAGGAAGGAGGATCACAGGTCTGAGCACATCCTGCAACCCTTCTCACGTAAAGGGGGTCAGGTTTGAGGATGTAGCTCAGTGCAAAGGCCCTAGGCTCAATTCCCAGTGCCGCACCAAATAAATAAATAAATCTGAAATTTGGAGGAATTTTTGATTCAGGAGGTCTTCCTCCACGCCCAGCAGGGGGAGACCAGGAAAAAAATGTGCACAAGAACTTTTAACAGATAAAAAGATGGGTCTAGGGCCACCAGGGATTCAGCTCAGTGGCACAGCGCCTGCCTCGCAAGCACAATGTCTTAAGTTTGATCCCTGGTACCTCAAAAAAAAAAAACAAACAAACAAAAAAAGATGGGTCTAACTTTAAACACACTTTTAGAATTACACGCGCTTGTGGTCAGTTATCCCCAATCCAAAAACCATTTACTTCTTCCTCCTATTAAGCCTTCCCCAGTAGCACCCTAAGGAGATGCTACTCTGTATTTACATTTTTGTTTAGCTACAACACCCTGACCTTCACAAGCCACCCAGGTCACTCAGAAATGCCAGAAACAAGGAAACCAGCCTCTTCTCTCCCAAACTTCGCAGATCCTACAAATCACCCGGAGCCATGGTTAGCCAAAGCACGATTCCTGGACCACCCCTAGACACTGAATCAATCCTCCAGGACAAAAACCTAGTGTTCATTTTATTCATAAGCATCCTAGATTCGTCCGATTGTGCAAATTTGGGAAATACTCAATACCTTGAAGACACAAGTTCTAAGTTGAAACTTACAGTCTGAGGGTTCAGACACAACCAAGCTTTCGTAGCGTGCGGCCCGCTTCGCTCAGAGACCGAAACTTCCGAGGAACCGAGACCCAAAGTCACAACAGCTGAGGTAGGCCGGGGTAGGACGAGTCCCAGACTTGCGTCCCTGGACCTCAGCTCAGGGCTTTTCCCGCGCAGTCCCTGAGGCAGCTTAGGAAAGACAGAAGCCACCGCGTCAGGAGCCCAGGGCGAGCAGGGCCGGCGTGGCCCCTCACACCGGCTTCCCCAGCACAAGCCCGCAGGGATGGCCAAGGCTACGCCCCTCACAGGGACAGGGCTGGGAAGAGAAAATGGGGGAATGAGGGACAACAGTGGGCCGAGATGAGACCGCCGGGGAGGCTTGGGGACGCTCAGGTCTCCCCGAGGGTACTCACCAGTCCTCAGGCTGTCTCCCGGCCTCGCTGTAGCCACCTTCTCAGCGTCTCACGCCTCTCGCGAGAGGAGGAGGCCCCACGGAAGCGGGCGGAACAGGTCGCGCAGTCCCCTACTCGTCGTGTCGCCATCGTCAGCGTGGGTGCCCGCTTCCAAGATGGCGGCGGCAGCGGCGGTGACTGGTGTCCTGGGACGGGCGGGCTGGAGGCTTCTGCAGCTGCGTTGCCTACCTGGTGAGAGGGCGACCGAGCCAGAGAAGGAGGAAGAGAGGGGAAGCGGGGCGAGGCGGTCTGGGGCTGGGTGCGGGGCGGAAGAAGCTTATCGTAGTGGCCCAAGGAAGGTGAGGTGAAGGGCGTAGTGGGCAGGAACGAGCCGGGCCAGCTTGCGTCTTCAGTCTCCAGCTGTGAGGCGCTAGAGCTGCGGGGCAGGGCCTGTCACTCCGGGGTTAAGAGTTAATAGCTTCAGAGAGGGCTGGGAGTGCCCATGGTGACACAGTTTGTAGGTTGCAGAACTGACTATCGCAGACCCATTCTCAAGTCCATTGTCATTGGTCCCTGGGCCAGGATCACCCCAAGGACACATGAAAAAGGACATAGCGTCCAATCCATTATCCCAAGTCAGTCACGTTCCCTACTATTTCACTAATTGTGACATTCTTTTGCCACCTTTGCTGCAATATACTCAGTATTTTTTTGTTTGAATGTCTAAAAATAGACATTCACTTAAAGAGAAAACTTTGTATCACTGTCATAAATAGAAAACCAATATCACCTTCCACTAACGGAATGTGCTATGCATTGACATACTGACATAAATATGTACCTAATGAAATAGCCTCTTGTATTTCACTTGAAAACAGTTTTTTGCTGGTACTGGGAATTGAACCCAGGGCTTTTGCACCGAGGTCCATCACCAGCCCTTTTTCATTTTTTATTTCGAGATCCAGGACCTCACAAAGTTGCCCAGGCTGGGGCTCGAACCTGAGCATCCTCCTGCCTCTGCCTCTGCCTGGTGAATAGCTGGGATTACAGGCCTTTGCCACCATGTATGGATTTCCTTTGAAATATTTTCATGAATAGTGGTTCCAAAGTCATACTTTGGGACCTCAACCTTTCTTTTATAAGTTTTAGGGATGTTTGTTCCATTTTCTGTACATATACTAATATATTGATTTTTTTTTTTTTTACATACTGTTCTGTGTTTCTTTCAAAATCATTTTTCCTGATTCTTTTTTTTTTCCCCCTGAGTTATTCCATAGTAGCTTTTTGTTGTTTATTTGTTGAAACAGGGTCATCTTGCTATGTGGTCCAGGCTGGCCTTGAACTCTGTGGAGCCCAGGCTGATCTTGAACTCATAGTCTTCCTGATATAAGCATGATATAGGAGCTCCAAAATGATAATAAGGATGATATGAGGACCTCCAATTGATATAAGGGAAGTATTATAACTCCCATCCTGTTAGATGTCTGATGCGCTGAGTTTGTGTTCCCTAAAATTGAAGAATGAATTCTAGGAACAATGGAGATTAGGAATAGAAAGTATTTATTGAGGGATAGACAGCTCCTGCTGAAGAGGGACAGGAGGGGACCCTGAAAGTGGGTTGCTATGGACTCCATTTACAGGGGGGGCTTTATAGAACTAAATCACCAAGTGGGTACAAAATCCTGTGTTGGGTAGAAGGTGGGACAAAACTATGGTCAACTAATAAGTTTATAAGTACAGTCACTTAGGTAATATTGATCCAGTTGGGAAGCAAGTCACATAAAGAACAAAGACCTTTCCTGGAAGGGACGGGTCAAGATCTTGGTCCCCCACCCAGATAATTAATGCCTATTTAGAATATCAGTCATTATTGTTTATCTTTGGAGAAGTTGGTGTAGTCATTTCATCTTTGTCCTGAGGTCTGAGCTTTAAGGAATGTTCCTCCACCCACTACATGTGTTCTTATCTTTTGCACTGAGGGCCTAGCCTTGTCTGACTATGTATAATATTTCAAACTACTTAGCTGTCTATAATACTCCTGGAGTAGCTTCCCAAGTGCTGGAATTACAGCCATGTACCTCCATGTCTAGTTTCTCTAGGCCTTTTTTTTTTTTCTTCAATGAATGCCTTTTTGTAACTTCTATACAAAATTCCAGACTAAGTATGTTTAGTAAAACTAATGCCCATGACCCAGAAAATCCACTCTTAGATATTTATGCAAAAGAAATAACATGTGTCTACAAAAAGGTCTGAAGTATATTCATGGTATCTCTTTTTGCAGTACAGGGAATTGTACCCAGAGTCTTTGCATTGAGCTACATCCCCAGACATTTTTAAATTTTGAGACAAGGTGTTACTCAATTGCTAAGTTTCCCAGGCTAAGCTTGAACTTGAGATCCTCCTGCCTCAGGCTCACAGCACTGAAATTATAGGCATGTACCACCACATCCAGTTTGTCAGTAACATTAAAGGGAGTTAGGGTCTTAGGGAGGTGGCCTTGAGTGAAAGTACATTTAATGTGTGTTCAGATCTTTATAGGCCAAGGTTAAAACCTAGTTAAGAATAGGGCACAGTATGAGGAATGTGATCATTATGTACTACAAACATGTATAAAGAAATATGAGAAAAAGTACAAGAGATGCAAGGAGGGCGATGGAGGGGAGAGGCAGGGGTTAAAAAAAAGAATTAAGAGGGCCGGGGATTTAGCTCAGTGGCACCACCGTGCCTGCCTTGCAAGTGCAAGGTCCTGAGTTCAATCTCTGGTA